TCTTAGAGTCGATTCTCTTATGTTTGTCTTAGTTACAGTTCATCCCGTGTGGTTCATTTTATGCGTAATAATTATGGATAATATCAGAGATATAAAGTGTCAGGAATGCCAATTCGAGTAGTATTTTTTCTTGCTCATTCATATATGGTTGAATAGACCATAAAAAGTTGGTCACGCATATGCAGCTTTCACTTCAAATTCATCATTATTTGATGCAAGAAAATTTGAATGACCATGAAAGTAGTCTTTGTGACTATGAAGTAGCTTTTTTTCAATAGAAATGATCGAATTTCTGTTTCATTTTTTTTTTTGTAAAATTTTTGCAAAGATTGTGTTGTAAGTCAACATAAAAAAACTGAATAGAAAAGTATTATTAAATTAGATTTAACATTCGTAGACTTTAAAAGAATATTCTCAATTAGAGATACTTCCAACTAGAGCCCGTCAGGTTGATTGCAGACCTACGTCTGAAAGTTTTAGATCCAATAGCCTCTAGTCCCAACATGCTTCAAAGTATGAGTTTCTGTGAATCGTTATAAATTTTTGTTGTAACAACAGATAAGGACAGCTGTTTTTTTTTTATCAAAATCATCCAGAGATAAATTGCAAAGGTGCGTGTTAAATTTTTTCAGACTTTGGTTTTATTTTCAGGATGATGTCGTATTTTTGTGTTCAATGGACAGAAGTAGATAAGTTTGTCAAGAATAAGATCGTTGTCAGCAGTTTTTATCATAACATTTTAATTTTAGAGCAAAAAAGGAATACTATATTCTGAATGAATACAAAGAACTACGACAGAATATAAATATTTCAAGGAAAATACGTTTTAAGAAAAAAGAAACACTCAAGAGACATGGGGTGAAATATGAGAAGGAAACCATTGAATGAAACACATTTGTTTTCTAGTTAATGAATACTTTTTATTAAAATATTTATGTTCTAACATTATTCTTTGTATTGATTCCAAATATGGTATTTTTGTTGCCTTGATGTTGAACTATAATAATAATGTAAATCTGAAAATAAAATAAAAGATACACTTTTGTAGTTTATGACCAGATAATTCTGATAATGTTGCGATTATCTCTAATGAACAACATTTTTTCTAAACTCTACCAAATTCTAAACTTAGTTTAATAACTTTTTGTTACGTAGCCTTTTCATGTTAAATTAGAATATAATAATTGCAACAAAAAAGTGTTCAGTTTGAAGTAAAAACTGTTGTTTGTGATCAGCTTTTCATTCTCTATTCAACTATACATAAATGAATAATAAGAAAAATCTGGTACTTGTCGCATTTTACAATGTAATCCAAAACAAAAAAAGTTTTATTATCAAATCATTTACAATAAATACAAGATTGATTTAATGCTTTCTCGATGATATTATCCAAGTTGTTGATTAATATTTATTTAGGTTATGCATTCTGATACATTCTTAGAATCATTTTAATAGGTGATCATTCTATTTCAAACATACGATAATGAAGTAGTACCATTCCGCACTAGAGATCTCTGTGTAGAAAAATATTTTCTTAACGAAAAGTATAGAAAACAATGTATATGAGTTCTAAATAATGACAATTAGATTTAAATGAAGTGTATTCATTCATGCAAAGCCTAGTTTAGAATTGTTTAATCTTGAATAATGAAATTGAAATATGAATATCGTTTGTCCAATTTAGCTAGTATTTTCTCATGATAGCAGTGAATTTTATAGAAGATTTTCGATGTCAACATAACCGGTAGTTTCTACAATATACACTTTCAAAAGTAAATATATCGTCTAATCTTGAAACACATCATTTCATTTAAATTTATTGAATGAAAATAAAACGACATCATACTCTGGAGATTATTGATCGCAAAAAAAAAAGATAATTTTATTGATGAAGATTGTTAAACATATTCGTCAAATGCAAACAAGTGCTGGTGAGACACATGCATTGTGTAAAAACTTGATGAAATATACGTAATTGAGTGCATAGATTATTGAACAAAATATTCACCACAGGAATAATTAGAATAAGTGATGATATTTAAAATATAAAATGAAAAGATGTATCGAAGTTCATTAGTAATCTAACGTAACGGAATAACTAATTCAAAAATATAATCGAATTATTTCAATCGAACACATTATTTAGGGAATTAAATGAAAGTATGAAGTGTTTTTAAAGATTATTGAAAAAATGAACGTTATTGAAAGTCTGCTCTCCATTATTAGGAAATAGAATAATGTTATATTTGTTGTTTTAAATATAATGTGTGTGCCTGTAGGTGCAACATAAATATTTAGAGAAAAAAATTTATGAACATTAGTGAATGTTTTTTTCTAAAATATGAGGATGTATAGTAAATTATGCAAACACACAACGATATAATTTGTCATTCATCTGTGCTTACAGCAATTGAATAGTATTTATATTGCATGTCTTGCTTTAATTTTATTCTAATTAATTACATATTAATTGAGAAAGGAAATGAACATATTAGCCAAAAATAAAATAATCTGTGAAATCTATTCGTATTAATCGAACAGTGATGAGTAAATTTCTGAAGATACTAAATACGTAATTATTCATGCAGGCGAATTTTTCTGAAGAAAAAATTACTTTTTCTAAGAAAACCATGTTTTTAATTTTAATATACTATTGTATTGCCTTTGTTGTGATGAGATACTTTAAGAATCTGTCAAGTAGACTGAATCAATTCTCGCAAAACAACTTCAAGTCATAGTAATTTATTCTTTACATTGATCGAGTACTTTTTCAATTGAATTATAACAGTTACGTAGGGAGTATACTTTTAACTATTAACGTTCAGACCGGTAATGCAAATCAACTTAAAAAAATCCTCCAATGATAATTAGTTTCTTTTCCATTATTCACACGCCTCTGGGTTAAAAGCAGTTAGCGATGTTGATATATCAATAATTACTATAGACTTTTTATTCACTCATCAGCTTTAACGTTACATCTCTGGCTTCAAAGCAGATTTCATTGTGTCTTACAAAGGAACGTCTTGTGCTGATATGCAAGTAGACTGGCCATATTCGGATCAAATAGACACTCTCACTGCTAAGAGAACAAAATTTAAAATATGATCTGCTCATGACGTGGGCAGACTGAACTATTTGAATTTATAATGCAGTTTTAGCGCATGTAATATGTTCGAAGTCATCATAGTTGGATAAAACTTACCGAGTTACATAAGAAAAAATATTTTACAAGTATAAATAACAAACTTTATGAAAGCGAAAAGCTCAGATCTATTTGTCTTTATACTTGAAAAATACTTTTTCTTATTTAACTTGATGTGTTCTATTCAATAATAATGAAAAAGAATCTGCTGGTATTCTCTGAATTGGAAACATATTACATATACTAGAAATACGTTAAAACTTGAATAACTCGATCTACACAAGTCATGGGCAGATCATATTTTAAAGGATATTGTTGAATAAGGTCCTAAATCTAACATTCCGGTCGATTTCACTTTTAAGAATATAGAAAGATAGAGCATGAAATTCTGCATATTTCTGTATACTTATTTATTTTTCTTTGTTGAATCCCAAAATATTTACGAATCGTAAGTAATTTTACGGATCTATTGCTTTCAGGGATTTTGCTTAATAGGTATGACACCGAGAATTTTTTCTTTTATAAGCTCCGTATGGAAAGTAAGAGCATAGATCGATGCAGTTTTTTATGCTTCACAGAATGACATAATAGTCATGTTTACCATTAGCTTCTCTCTTAAATTATGCAGTGTAAACGATACCGTACTCATTGAATCCTGTGTAATTAAAAAGAAAAACGATTGTCGAATTTTTTTAAATACCAGCCACCATTTTTTGAATAACTCTTCACCATTGATAGCTATCGAGTTCAGGTTTTAACCATTCGATAGAGCAGCGCTGGAGGCGTCTATCTATATGAGACAACAAATTATACAAAACATTCTCGAGTAATTGTTAAACCGACTATAAATGTGTACACGCATCAATAAATTCTTATTTCAGTAAAGAATAACGAAGGTATTAAAACATAGAAGTGAGATTCCAAACATTTTCTAGCCAATGGGTATCATCTCTTTTTTGTTCTGAAATAAATATTTATTAGAACAACATCTATTATTTACAGTAATCAAAAAAAAAAGTTTTGTTGAATCGGTGTTGAACAATTAACGATGTCCATTAGTATTGACGATATGGCTTTTATTCTTTATATAAATAATATTTCAATACAAATCAATCGTTATGTCCCCATCTTTCTCCTTCTATTTGGTATAATTGGTCACTTAACTAGTTGTCTTGTATTTGTTCAACGCGCGCTTCGTACAAATCCATGTTCAATTTATTTTCTTGCTGCTAGTCTATCGAATTTAATTTTTCTTACAACATTATTCGTACCTATGCTTAATGCATGGGATAAGTCGTTTAATTTACTCAGTACTGTTTCTGTTCTATGTAAACTATCAATGTTTATTATTCTAACGACACGAACATTAGCTCTATGGTTCATTGTTCTCGCTACTATTGATCGTTATTTAATCTTATTTTATAATAATAATCGACATCGAATGACAGATTTGAAACAAACTTATTGTTGGATCTTGATCACTTGTATAGTATCAATATTAATCTGGATAGAAACTGTTTATTGTTTTGAAACTAATCTTGTAGGAACTCCTATGAAATGTTTCCTTAATTCAAACGTATGTCTTTTATATAATACCATCATATTTGCATTGATTAGTATAACAATTCCATCAATAACGATGCTCATTTTTGGTCTTTTAACTATTATCAATATTCGTCAGTCTCAACGAATGATATATCCAAATATCAATACAATTACTAATTCAAATAGAAGAAGTCGAAGAATTGATTGGATTCTTACTCGAATGCTATTGACACAAGTTTTTACTATTTTTTTCTTGAATCTACCACAAGCAATTCATATACTGTATATAGCAATTATATTTTATCAACCAATAACTCCTGTTAAAGCAACAGTTCTTGGTCTTATTTTTGATATATTATTCCTTCTTCCATTTCTTTCTTGTTGTATTTCTTTTTTGTTATATATCTTAAATGAAAAGATTTTTCGTGAAACACTCGTTAAACTTGCTAAGAAAATTATTCAACGTTTAAAATGCAATAACTAATTATTGTATTAGAAAAAATGAAATGTATTTCATTATATATTAGCACTTATAACAATAAAAGACATTTAAATCATATGTTCAACTCTTTCTTTTTGATTTATAGAACTCAATAAAAGTAACCGAAATACTAGTTATATTTAAAACTGAAAAATAAAGCTCTATGTTTACAAGTTAAGATTATTGAAATGTTTTTTTTTTTATCGAATAAAATGACGTATCATATGTGGCAACAGGGAGGACACATTACATATGAAATATTCTTCTCTTTTTATTACATGAAAAACTTAAAAATGAATAAAACATTTTCCTATCCATCGCATTGACTGCTATTAATAAATTTTTGATTTCATCTTTTTAAATGTTAATGAGTAGCTGAAAGAAAACTCGTAATTGTTTGAAGATTTTTTTCAACATTTATACAAATAAGGCGTTGATTTCTTCCATTATAAATTTTCATATCTACAATTATAATTATCTTATATAAACATACATGATTTTAGCAATATAAAAGATTAGACTGAATTATATCCTTTAAAAGATTGTTTATTTGCTTATATTAACAATCACTGAATCATACATACTTATCTGAAAAAAAAATTTGTCTTTGAGTTACAAAAATCAAAATTTAAGTTAGCAATATTTTTCATTTGACAATGTATATTTAGAAATTTGTTGTATTGGTATAAATATTCAAATACTAAACAGTGAACCACGGACATAGAATTCATATTGAGACTCAGATTAGATTAACGTTCGCGTCCTGTGATGAACTGACTGCACTGATATATGAGTTTCCTAAAATATAAAGATATAAACTCGATGAAAACATGCACCTTGTGTAGCGGCACGCAACAATACTTCAATGAACGTTGTTACCAATGTGTCAATGTGTATTAACTACACTGAGTCAATGGTCAGAAAACTGAATTTTTTCGTTGTTATTTATATTAGTTGTTAAGTGAAAATTTTTGGTTGAATTCTATATTCAAATTAAGAAATTATCTATCGATGATAATAATTGAATCGCTGAAGTGTTTTCAATAATCGGCATATAGCTTTTCATCGGTACATCAACTACTCATTATGTGTCTTAAAAATTGTAAACAGCAGCAGTATTGCGCTTTTGAATAATCAAACTATTCTGTATATGTTAATAATATGTCGAAACTTTTTTTTGATGAATAATTAAAAGAGGTACTGCAGAGAAAACCTTTCGAAAGACAGCAGATTCCTCTTATGTCCCTTACATCACTGTGTATGTAAAATGTAAGATTACTGAAAAACAAAACATGATTATGACAGTCTGTTAATGAACAAAATGTCTTTTGAAAAATATTTTCAATTAGTTCATAATGTTTGTATATGATTACAACGAGCAAGAGTTCTTTTTTTTTTTTCGTTTTAAAATAATACAAATCAATGAAAAGAACCCAAAAAAAGACAAATCATTTTTTACTGAAAAGCATTTTTCTAAAGTCATCATTACTCATTGTATTTGTAGTTGTTGGTGTTGATTGACTCATCGATGTTGCATTCGTTGTTATTGCAACTTTTCTTGGTACTAATGAAATTTGAGAATGTCCTCTACCTCTTGGTCCAGTTGATTTCGGTGCTTCACCTAATGATGTTGCTTTTGATACAACTGTTTTAGTTGTTGGTGCTAATTTAATTGGTTCTTTACGTTGTGGTGGATTACTAATAGCAACTTTAATTGTATGTCCATCAATATCTGTTCCATCAAATTTAAGTATTGCTTGTGAAGCTTCTTGTGCATCATTAAATTCAACATAAGCAAGTCCTTTGGATTTTCCACTTTTATGTGTTACTAATCGAACATCTTTAACTTTAAATCCTTTTTCTAGAAATAAATTTTGAAGTTGTTCTTTAGTTGTTGAAAATGATAAATCTGATATAAATAATTTATTTTGTTCTAAAGCTGTGGCATATTTAAACTTTTTTGTTAGATCATTTGATGCAGCTTTATTTGGATCATAAGCACTAACATACATGGGTCGACCATTTATTGGTGTATGATCTAGTTTTAATGCTTGACGATAGCCGTCACTTGTAACAAAATCAACATAACCAAAACCTTTTGATTTACCAGACCATTCATGTTTAACAAGACGTATGTCTTTTATTTCACCAGCTGATGAAAGTACTTGACGAATTTCATCTTCAGTAATTTCATAAGCCAAATTAGCGATAAATACAGTATTTAAATGATCAATGTCTTTTGTAGAACTGACTATAGAAGTGGCAGTTGAAATTGAAGATGATGCAAGAGAAGGAGGTGGAGCTGGTATTTTAAAACCTTCACTATCTATTGTTGGAGCTTGAGGTTTCTTTTTAATAGTCTGCGCTTCTTCTGGTGATAATTTTCGTTTACGAGGTGATTGCTGTTGTTGCTCCGTGGTATTACCATTGCTTTGAACTGATGCAGCAGCTAAAACAAAGTTTATTATACAATTATTATCCACAATGAAATTATTTGAAGATGTTTAGTTTATTCAAAACATTACAGTATAATAACTTTCAAAGAATGAATTAAGAAAGAATCATACGTTAATATTTAAGTTAATCTATTAGAACTCGGAAAACTATCTTGGCAGAAGTGATGTGTGATGATCTGACTCCGTTATCGCAATACTTCGGGAATTTCACAATCAGGCTAAATAAAACAATGGAGTCGATATTTCTGAAATATTGAGATAATAGTATCCGATCATTGAGAACCTAAGAAACAAATATCACCATTTGACTTAGCATGGTACATTACTCTTGTCTAGACGCTTTTTTTGGATAATCAAAAGTCAATTGACTGGAAACAAATGTTTTAGGACAAGTCTAATAACTCTAGAATAAAACAAGCTACAAAATGTCAACCTTATATAGATTGACATGGAAGAACTATCGTTTAACCCTATTAAAAGTCTCAACCGCATGAGAAATAGTTTCAAAATATTGTTGTCGAAAATTTCGACCAAGAACTCATCTAATTAGTTAATCGCTAGCCAATGGAATGTTGATCTATTTCGATGGTCTCGAGTTTTCACTCTTAAATGGTAAAACCTGCAGATTTCTATGATGTTTATATCAAAAGATATTCTAAGAAAAGTAGAACATAGTTATTATATTTTAAAATGAATAAATAGTAGATAGAAAATGATTTATGAGAATAGATTGTCTATTCTTACTTGTATCCATTTGTTTATTCGAAACTTTAGTTGATTTTTCTTTGGTTTCTTTTTGTTTTCCTTTATTGATTTGTTTTTTATTTGATTGTTGTTGTTGTTGTTTTCGTTTAGGTTTTTCAATTTGAATAATTGTATGTTTAATTTGTTTTAATTTATCTTTAGTTTCTTTTAATTGTTGTATAGTTCCATATTTGTTATCGTGTTCTAATAAAAGATTACATATAATTAATGGATAATCCATTGTTTGTATATGATTTAATGCACGATATAAAACTTTTCTTGCATGTTTTTCATCTCCATAATTAATTTCTGTATAATAATAATTTTTCCATAAATTTGATATCATTTGATTATGTGTTTTATTCATTAATGTTCGACCATTCCATATTTTTCTAGCATGTTCAATTGAATGAAATGATTTTATTTCTAAATGTATCCAAAATAATTCAAGTTGTCCATTATATTTTAAAAATAAATTTGAATTATTTGATGATAAAAATAATTCTTGATATTGATCAGAAGCATATTCACATATATGACGAATTTCTTCTTTTAATAAATCACATTGTTCTTGATTATTTAATAATAATTCTTGATGATAATGACGACGACGATATTGAAAATAAGCTAATTGTATATCAACAAATGAAATAAGATTTGTTGGATCAGAATTAAGTGCACGATCATAGATTTTTTTTAATTGAGAATGATCAACATTTCCAGTCAATTCCATATATTCAGCATAACGAATCCATAATGATGCTACCCATGGACAATTTCGTAACGAACGTTCAAATATTGATTGTAGAATAGTTGTAGATGATAAATATTCTTCAGCAAAATCGATGTATGAAAGCCATAAATCACCATCAAGACAATTATCAACTAAAACAAAAACAACACAATACAATTCATTCACGAGTAAACTATTAACATTCTACATGAAAATCTTATTGAACTCTATGATGGTTTATAATTCAACTAGTGTTTTGTCTAGTGTGAGAAAAGGCGAAAGGAATTATTTTTTCGAAGATTGGGTTGACGTTATCAGAGTTTGTCATCTTTGTGCTATATATTTGTTGTCTCACAAAAAGAATTGTTCACTATTTCGAAATTTTAAATTGCCTCTTCGAATAAGAAAATATGGATATTACACTGAAAGATTCGTTTTTATCTATCAGTATAAAATGAATATTCTAATAATTTGAGTTTATACGAAAAGAATTGGTAAGTAGAAAGATCAAAAATGAATGAAAACTGAAAGATTGATATTGATAGAATCTTTAAATATTTAGAAAACATCGCCGATAGACATAAATATCGAAAAAATGAAAAAAAGAACATCCAAAAAGTTTAATATTCAAGATATTTTTCTTTCGAAATTACCATTCTACTAGAGCTCTACCTTAATAAAAACTTTCGTCTCGAAATATTAAATACTTAAAGAAAGACAGAATGATATTCATCAATAGCGATCAGTAAATTGATTCCTCGTCAAGAGTCTATATTTCAAGAAATAACATTTCATTGTGGCTAAACGGCAAAGAATAGAGACGTTCAATTTCAGCTTATTCTGACCATCGACTTAGTGTTAGCAGTGCAACTAACACCTTTTGAGATAACAGAGTCAAATCATTTCGAATCTAAAAAACAAGTGTTTGCTATTCAACTCAATACAATGAATAACCTCTGCCTAGTTACTTTTCCAGACAATTACAGATTAATTGGCTGGAACTGGAGCTTTTAAAAAAAAGGTCAAACGGAACAAGCGAGAAATGTCGACTTTACGTAGATCGAAAGGAGAATAGTTTCGAAATATCGTTTTTAGAATTCCTCTTGAATGATGGAGACGGCTAGTCTCTATAACGTTTCTATTATAAGTTATTTTAAAAACTTCGGAAAAAATTATATTTTGAAATGGATAGTGTAGATTTACAGTTCTTATCAACATGACTGCTAGGACTAAAATCTTCTCTTTTTATTCATGCCACTTTAGTTTTGTTAAAATATGTGACTGTATGAATTGATCTTCAATTGAGTTCTAATTTTATCTGCTCAAAAAAATACAATTTTGTCTCTAACATATATATATACATAAGTTAATTAGAATATCATACCAATTGCTCGTTCGTATAAACATTGAATACGTGCTGGTTCTTTTTCAAATTCAATATATTTTCTATAGGTTGCTACACTTCTATTAGTATTATCTAATTCTTGTTCAAATTTTTCACATTGTTTTAATTGTTGAATAGCATGATCAAAATCATTTTTTAATACTAAATCATATTTCTCCATATAATTTGTCGGTAAATATTCTTTATATTGTTGACAAAATTCATTATAATCTTTATAATAAATAGTATCCATTCCATGTAATGGTATTGATAATTGTCGACGATATAATGTTAAAATATAATCAACATGTTGAAGAATTTTTTCTTTTAAATCATTATTTGTTTTATTTTGATTATATTGTAATAAAATACCATCTAATATAGCTTTTTCTGTTTCAATATAAGCAGCCCATAAAATACTACCTTCAGTTAAATGAAGAGCACATGAACTAAGACCACGTTCAAATAAATTTCGAAGTTCTTCAATAGAATTTAATGATACATAATATGGTATACGATATTGAACATATTCAATCCATATCTTAACAGATAAATAATCATTAACAGCACGTTCAAATAATTGAATAAGTTCTTTATTTTCTTCTGTATTTGATATTAATAAACGAATTTCATCTCGAATCCAATCAAGCCAAAGTTGTTGTGTTAATGGATATATTTCAGACATTGTTTGACGAGCAAAACGTAAATGTTCAAGATTACCATATTGATGAGATAAATTTATATAATCAATATGTGCTTGATAATTATATGGATTTGATTGAACTATATCACGATGTGCAACTAGTTCAGTTTCTTGTTTACTATCATCAATTTTTTCGTCAGCTGAATCCTCTGATGTACTACCATCGTCATCATCATCATCATCATCTTCAATATCATCTTTACTTATTTCCATTTCTTCGTCATCAGATGCCATCTTTTAAAATATCTGAAGTGAAAATTAATAAATCATAGACTCATATATGTTTTGTAGTTAAGACAAACTAGTAAAATATTTTCTTTTTTCGAAGGTCTATCTAATGATAAATTTCACTTAAAGTGTCGTGTTTAATCATTGTCTACTTAAATTCGATTATAGATACTTAGAAAGGTTTTTTAGAAATATATCTCATTATTCTTATTTTCATTTCTGACTTTTTTGTTGAGGAGTTAGAGAGTTTTAATTAGAATATATCAATATTCCTTTTTCAAATTAGAAGAAAAATTGATGAGATTGTCAAATATCTCTAATGATATCTTTGAAATTTTCTTTTGGTCCCTATGTGAAAATCATCAAAATGATCAGAAAAATAAGATAAAATTTAATAATTTTCATAAATTGAATAGTTTCTTTAAAAGAAATTCTCTATGGCACTCTATACTCTAAGCAATGTATTACCTAGATTTTCTTCAAACACCGGAAAAGCCAACACGATCTTTAGAAGAGTGCTAATCTCTCAAGAGAGATAGAACCAGTCTGACAAAACAACCTCTCCAACTTTTAATCTCCATTCAAAACTCATATTTTGCTCGAAGCTACGACGTGTGTTAATGATGATAACTAGAGAAGAAAAGTCTAATGAAACGAACACCTTCAAGGTTTTCAGTTCCACTAAAGCAAAAAATTAGCTCAAATAAAGATTCTCAGTTGCTACTAATTTATACCAATTCATCTGTGCTTCTCGGCTTCTATGGTGGATAAAACACTAACTCTAAATGCAATCAAAAACTTCTTTTCAGTTGATTTTACTCGGATTAAATATTGAGAATAATCAAATATAACTATTAGTAAGAACTTTCAAAAAGATATATTCATTTTTTTAAAGTTATTCGACATTTCAAATCTCAAATTTCTGATAAAAAGAAAAACTATTGATTTTAAACATTTTTATTTTATTGCTAAAATTATGAAGTCAAAACAAAAAGAAAAAAGAAAAACATATCTGACAAAAGTTTAAAATTAGTAGAGAGAGAGAGAGAGATATAGAGAGAGAAACACATGAGAGAAAGAAAAAATATATGTATATATAAATGTTCAAGTTCTCTTAGATATAGAATACGAAACGTGCGGGTAACCACATGCACACCGAGCAGAAAGCACTGATAATAAAAAAAAAAAAAGCAAAATTGAATGATGAAAGACTCTCTCTATTAATTTTATTTAATAAGTGGATCAAATTCTTTTGTTACTGTTCGAAGTGGACTCTGTGTAAAAGCCGAATTTGTAAATGATGATGAACCATTTGTTTTCTTTTTATGATAAATATGATGTTCATTTTTATTTGATTGTTGAGATTTTTTTTTATTTGAAATTTTAATTGAAGTTGATGATGAACGAGATGATGATGATAATGATGGTGATGTTGAATCATATGCAGATATACGTTGTTGTTGTTGTTGTTGACTATTTGAATTATCATTAATTGTTGTTAAATCATTATTTATTGAAAATGTTTTTGTTGAATTATTTATTTGTTGTAAAAATGGTTCTGATATACTTTCAGATGATATTTCTTTTCCTTTACCAGAATCAGGTGAATCACTTGATAAACATTGTTGATTAGATGATGTTAATGTTGAAAATAATGATGGTAATAGAAATAAATCCGTTGGACGTGATGGTAAAATTTTTATTGAATCATTATTATAATTCATTAATTTCATTTCAAGTTCATTTGTATAAAGTAATAATTGTTGAATATGTGTTAATAATTCTCGATTTCGTTGAAGTAATTGAGTATTTTTATTCTAAATAAAAAAGAAATTTAAAAAATTTTGTTTTCTTTTTGTGACATACTTGTGCATCAATACGAGCAGCTATTTCAATATTTAATTGATCTTTAATTAGTTTAATTTGATTAAATGCTAATTCAGATTCATTTTGCATTTGTTGTATTTGTTCTTGCATAAATTGCATTTGATGCTTAAGTGTAAATTCACTTGATGAATGAGATTGAAATAAATTTAATGGTTTGCTTTCAGTAATTGTTGGAGACTTAAACAAAAAACATTAAAATAAGTGCATTAGATTTTTTTTTTTTTTTTTCTTATTGTTAAAGAATTTACTGTAGATGCTTGAACACTTTGTAAATAACGTTCTGCTTTTTCTATTGGATCCATATTAGGTGCAAGTATTTCACGACTTATTTGTTTACCTTAATAAATAGAAAATTAATTTTCAAAATTCAATATTATAAGAAAAAAAAAGAAAACATCATTACAAGTTGACTCATTTTCTGATGAACTAGAATTAATTTTAATTGGACTAGATATTTGATTAGTATTATTGTTATTAGTTGATTGTGCTAGTGGTGATGATGATGCTTGTTGTCGTTGTTGTAATGCTATTTTATGACAAACTTCAAATGCTTGTCCAATTGTACGTACAATACGCATAGCTTCATTCTAAAAAAGAAATATATTTGTTTTCTTTTCATATTATTACTTACCAAATTTTTAAAATGATTTATATTATGACTAATAATAGATATGAGTAGGATTCTGTTTTGTTGTAGGGCTCAGTCTCGATCAAATTAAAAGATTTTGTATGCATAGAGGTTAGAACTCTTCTTTTTTTATTACTAACTTATAAGTTTGAAGCGTCTGGCTACTATACTTAGATTAATTTAGTTGTTAACATCGTTCCTGTTAGATGTACAAACGGATATAAAAAGAATCTGTAGCATTAATTTCCATCTCAGCTTCGCCATAGACTGGTTGACATCAGTTTGTCCACATCTAGTTTATACGCATTTCAGTCAAGAATCTCACACTAAAATATATATAGAAATAATGTGTCTCATGCTGTGAACTAAAGATAAAACAATTTTGACAAATTGAAAATGATTTTATAGTTCAACTATGAACTCATCAATTATTCTTCGTTGAAAATAATGTTTGATATAGTTAATTATAGATTATGTAAATGTATTTCATATTCGATAGAATATAAAATACGACAATTCTAAAAGACCTTAAAGTTCAATATTTGAATGCGGATTGATCTATTTATTTATTCGATTATTCACAATACATAGGACAAAAAAATAACATGAAACTGATCAAAATAGTTGAAAAAACTCTATAGAAGTACTGAGATTTCTCGATATATCAACATAAATATATTTCTCTTACATTTAATCTTTCATCATCATCATCATCATCACTAATATCATTCCATTTCATCAACATCTTGTTTTTCTAGTAAAATAAGGATTATACTAGTAGAACTCTCTATTCTATTATTTTGTGTTTTGATAGAATAATCTTGTTTTCGGATAAGGAAGATAAAAAACGAAGGCGTAAAACAAAAATAAAAAAATAGAATAAGAGATAAAATTATTTTCCTATATTTCATCATAGACATTAATATAATCTTATCAAACATTTACCTTCTTATTTGCTTTAAATACATTGCAACGAAATGAATTATTAACATTATCACGTGCAATAAAACTGAAAATTTTCAAATCTTGACTATCATGTGATACATAAAATACTCTAAAATATAAAGTAAAATTGTTTAACTTATTTATTTTTTTTTTTTTTGCTACCTATAGATAGGATGTTGCATTAAAAAAGATTTATTTTCATCAGCATATAAATCTTTCTAAAAGAAAAAAAAAATTTTTTTTTTTTATAAAGAAATTTTTCTACTTACTTTTTTCTTTTTCAATAAACAAACTTTAATACCATCGACAGATATTAATAAATTAACTTTACGTTTTTTTACTGCTTTAGCTTTAAATTCATACTAAATATTCAGTAAAAAAATTTATAATAGATTTTAATAATTTAGCTCTATTTTCTTACACGAATACGACGCATAGCAGTAACAATTTCAATTCTGCTTGTTGGTTTAGGTACTTCAACTGAACCAATAAACTATATAGAAAAATAGAAATTTTTGCAAACATTTGTCGTTTATTTTACTTTGGCATCATATTGTATTCCATGTTGAAATGCTTCATCATTATGTAATGGAATTTTACTGTCATAACCATCATCAGACATGGGATCGTAGTCACGATTTTTGGCCGACATGAGAAGTGATCTATAGAGATATATGGAAACATATTTTTTTTTTTTTGTAATGAACAAAGAAAATTTAATTTAGTCGTTCATTGAATTTTTATCGGACAAGAATTATAACGAATTATTTTTATCTAGAATATTCTTATTAATGAACATTCATGAAAAAAAAAAAAATTACATTTTCATTTACATGAATATAGGAAAATTCAATTCGAAATAATAATTATAAATATTTAATAGATGTCAGTAGACTATAACAAATATATCTCCGTCTATCTGTCACATAAACTAGATGAAGGTTTTCTTTACGATTAAGACTATTAAAGGGATGACAGTCTAATTTTCACTCTTTAAGTGTAATCTTTCTTAATAATTATAGTTGACAGAGAAAAACTAATGTTGCGTTCATATTATTAATACATAGTTAACTAATGTTGACATTACAAGGCAAATATACAATACGAAATATTTGTAGTTTTAAGTCTTGAATGACTTTACAAATCCCAATTAGTTAGACAAAAAAAAAAGAAAAGAAACCAAAAGTAGGTACTAACCACTGATATTGTATTTCTCATATAGATAAATACATTTAATCATAATTAAAGAAACAAAATATGTCCCTGAATAAGGTTCCTTATTATTCTTAATTTTGTTTCTTTTTTTAAGATGAAGTGTTACTATTCTCTTGACATATGTCACACTTGTCGTTCTTTTTTTTTTCTAAATGAATATGACTGATCTTGCGTGATACCATTGCATAGATACAAACTGTTACATCGTACATATACATTTATAGATATTTACTGTGATGTACACATGTCGTTTGCTCATTACTACTAACATATATATATATAAATATACAAAGACGAGTCGTGCCTACTCGATAATGATGATGGTATCATATTATCATATACATTTTTACTTCGTTCAGTGTACAAGTATTTTTACTTTAGTATCAACACGAAATATCATAGATCATTTATCAAATACAGTGTATATAGATGTATTAGAAATTACAGAGTGAACCTTTTTTATTTTACAATAAACGAATACGTATGAAGATTAATCTTTATGTTCTTTTTTTTGTTTTGTTGCTTATCTAACAATGAGAACATAAAGAGCAATGTCTCGTCTCGTTTTTGTTTTATATAAATCTCACTAAATGTATGAGTATGAACTGAGCTCTTTATTTTTATATATAGACAAAAAATGTACGTTGTAATAAACATCAAGTGAGTTCATCAACATTATGTTAATGTACAGTATTACTATTTGACTCAAACATTAATGAAAAGTTTTCAATCTATGTTTAATGAATAAAGATGTCTTTTTCTAATGGATTAAGTAAACAAAACGCGTCTGTCAAGATATATATATATATATATATATATAAGAAGCCGTCTCATCTATCAATTGTAGACATACATAATGATTGGTTTACGTGATTGTTGAAATGAGGGGGCTCAAACAAATATCTATAGTTGTATATCTATCAGTCTGTCACCTTCAAATACAAGGAGATAGATGCTTATGAGGACAATCATGACACTATATTTTGCTTATATATATGTGGATATACATATCACTAACAAAAAGTATCTGCCTCCTAATATGCATGTCAACGATATGAATACTTTACACTTGTAGAAGACAAAAAAGAAAGAATACTTGAAGATATCATGCATGAGTAATGTCAATCTTTCTCATTTTTGAAGGATTATTGAAAAAAAAAGAACGCTTTTCTTTTTTATTTTCAAGATGTTGCATCATATTCTCATTTGTGATAATCATATTATTAGTATCAAACTCTCTCATCATCGGCTTTAGTTTAGAATAAGAATAATAATAGTCGATTAGATATATGTTACGTCATTTCCGTTTGTAATAGCGGTGGTTTCCGGTTCGATACTTAGATCAGATCAATTAAAAGAAAATGACAAGTTTGATTAGGTGAAATAATAGAGAAAAAAAAAGAAATGATAAATCCGAATCAACATGCATTTGAAGGTTAAATATAGAATTCTTTCAATTCTACTTAGTATGCAAACCAAGATTTATCGATAATCGATTGTCGTACTTAAAAAATTATACAATAAGACTGATTTACTAAACGAGACTAGAAACACATTGCGATCTAACATCTATCAGAAGAATTTGTTTGAGAAGAAGCACTTAGCTCTTTTATTCAATCATGTAACCTATAAAAAGATGATTTGTAAGAAATAACTATTCACAACAACTTACTTGAACATAGCCATTTTTTTCTTTTTGATTTTGATATTAGCTAAGATTGTTTTGTAGATTACTTTGGTTGTTGTTTGACGACTGGAAAGTGTATGTATATATAGATATAAGTTGAATATGAATATGAATTGTATTGAATTATTAGGTAAATTAATATGAGTAACGAAAGTAGTGAGTATGTGTGTACTAATCGATGCAATGATCACATTATATCAATGTATCTACAAATACATATACGATATTTCTATTGATTAACTACTTTTTTTTTTTTTGTAGAAAGAAAGCGAGAAAAAAAGAAAGAAAAAAAATAAATCTATGTAGTTCATCATTGATACAAAAAATTCTTTTTTTATCCCTCTGTCTGAATCTTAATCAAGCGGAAAAAGAAAAAAAATGAGAACGAGAAAAAATGAATATGGAAGAAAAAAATTAGACATGTATATTCTCGTTCATGTATGTTAATCTTCTCACAATTCAAGATTTGATATACATGCATACACTAAGACTCGTTCTTCTATTTTTTTTTTGTCCTACAACATAACTGGCAACAACATCATCGAAGAAAATGCTAAAGATAAAATTACATCTAGATAATTGATTTTGCCCAAAAAAGAAGATGACGACAACAAGAAAAGAAAGATCTCACTATTTTTTTTGGCTCGTCTACCATTGTCATTTTTGTTCTTTTGTATAGTTCTCACATACACAAGGCGATGAATGATATAAATTATAGAAAGAGCGAGAACTAGTGAGCACGAAGATGAGCAATAACGGCTATATATGTGTGTGTGTGTGTGTGTGTGATAGAGTAATCGATCATTACACGCCGCAAGCGAGGGCACACTGATCAAATCATCATTGCTATGTCTCCTGTGTTTTACATGAGAGAATAAGAAAAAAAAAAAGAACTACAAAAAGAAACAGAAATAAAATGAAAAGTTTTCTCTATAAACTTGGATATTAAAACTGTAAAAAAACTAGAACTGAACATATCACGTAAATCAACATAAAAATTTAATATATACAAGAAGAAAAAGAACAATTACTTTCTAGAGCTCAATGATTTTATGATGATAATACGACATTAATATCTATCATTGCTCGCGTAATTTGTTCGTCATGGTCATTTGACACGCAAGAATCTTTATTTAGTCAATTGACCATATCTTTAACCTTCTATTTGAAATATCTCTAATATTACCCATATAGTTTACAATACAGTAATTTATATATATAAAAAAAGAAAAAAACGAAACTCAAGGTTCTTCAAATCGTTCTAACAGAATAGAAAAAAGAAAATGATGATGGGAAACAACTCGATTATAGATGAAGAAGACATCATAGACTATGCTTGACATCCGGAAAAAAAGCTAAATTAGACTGATATTCTGCTTCTATTCCTTTTTTCTTGTTACTCGAGGTCATCAAGAGACATTTTTGCACTCCTTGTTATGGAAGTGTATTCATTAAGGAATCCATTGTTATATTTAGTTTTGTGTCAGAATAAGCACTTTTCTATATGGCAAATGAATGACAGTCGGCAGATGTTTTATGCATAAGAATGAGAATTATTTACTAAGGATTCTTTATTGAATGCTATTTAGCATTCGTTCACATATTCTAATATTCTCATCAATAGAAAATAGATACATAGAACTTGTTTGCCTTTCATAAAAGAAAAATGCTGAATTTAGGTCTATATTAATTTTCTTTTTTTTTTTTCTCCATAATTATATTATTTCATTAAAAAATAATTGGAACTATTTTGTTCGCCGGTAGCATCACAAATAATATCAAATCTAAGTATACGCATCAATGCACCAAAGTATTGATGAATAGAAGATGTAGGATAAAAAGAAATTGTATAAATATGTAGACGACAGTATTATTATTATTACTATTATTGATGACTAAATTTTTGGTAGACAAAAAAAAAAAACGATTATGATTACAGAGTATTTTCTCATTTATCACATATCACTGTTACATTTCGTAGTATTATCATGAATTTATATTGTATTATTTCTATATTAAATAATTTATATCTACAAGGTATATATACTTGTTGTTTGAGGGTAAGAAGCAAGTAGGACACTATCTACATTTACTATGAAAAATAAACTTTCTAATCAAATAAAATCTATCGAAAAATAGAATTGACTTCTATAAATCGATATAAATTCGGACGAATTTTGTTTTTCTTGAATTTCCAAAGTTTACATGTTCGGTGTTAGAACAAAATGCTATTCATTTATAGGAGATCAACTCAAAAAAATAATAACACTTAACTAGAAAGAAATGATAATGGCTAATTTGAAAATAGGTCAAGATTACAACGGAATAACAAGAAATAATTTTGATGATTATATAATTATATTCTTAGAACGTCAAAACACTTTGTGACAGAAGAAGACAAATACGTCTTGATATATTTTCGTATTTCTATATGTTATATTTCCAAATTATCTGCTGTATTGTTTTTGTACATTAGCAGTGAATCTAATGTAAAAAAACAGCATACATGAATAACTTATGTTTATGTTTTTTTTCTGTTTGAGAATGAATCATCTGTCAGCATAATGATCATTATCATAATCTGACAGCATTAATTGTACTGTTGTTCTTATACAAACTACATTCGATATGTATTTCTACAATCTAAATTTGGTGATCTTTTTTTTTGGAAACTTACAGAGTGCAACAAATGACCTGCATCTCAATTCATAATGATTTATATCATTAAATTTCATTCTCAATGGAAGAGC